CGAGACCTTGGCCTCTGGCTTGATTCGACATGTACATGTTGATCGGGCTTGAACAGGTGCGGCCGTGGATGTAACTCAAGAGTCTTGTCGCCAGTGGTCTCCGCTACATCATATGTCGGGCCCCTTGAGGCGTCCTGCCCTTCTCTGGCTTGTTCTGCGGTTCCAGACCGGTTGCCATCAGCCCTGCCCACCCCTTCAGAGCCCGGATCGTCACCCAGCTCCTCTTGAAGCATATCCTCAAACGGTCGTTCATGCTTCCACGACATTCCTGGTAACACCCCCCACTTGGTGTTCCAAATGCCCCGCTTAATCCAAGCACTCTTCACTCTCTCGTACGCAGTGGTGTTGATATTGGGTGGTGTAGATATTGCAGGTTCGTTTTCCGGGGGCCCCTCCCGCCTCCACCGCTCATGCGCCTCCATTTGGAATGGAAGTGGTCAAGGCCAACAACGCGCTGGGTTATTGGGTTTTGGCCTGGGGGTCTTGGGCGGTTCATTTCCTCCTGGATGGATTTGCGTCGTTCGGAAACTAGGTAGATGAACTGATAATAGGGGCGTGACGCGGAAGGCCCCACCCCCGCACAGCCGCACCGTCGCCAAGCCGCACCTGCAAGCCGCACCCAACCCAGCCGCGCGGGGCATGGAGGCCCGGCCGGATATTGAAATGGGGGATTCCCCTCCCTCTTCCTCTCCTTCCCCAATACAACCAATTCGCCAGGAAGACCCTCCGAATCAGCCAATTCAGCCGAATAAGCCAAATAAGCCTATCCAGCCGAATAAGCCCACCTCACCAAACCTTCAGTCAAGCCGCCATTCCAGCCACCAGTCAAGCCGCTTACCTAGCCACCCGACGGCCAGGAAGCTCCCAGACCCACCCAAGCAGTCGAAATCGACTAATCAGTTCCTCGAAGTAACGGCCTTCAATAGACTTGTGGCTGGCCTTGAGGCCCTAGCTTCCGAAAATCAGGCCCAAGCTAAATTCCTAGCCCAGGAGATCCAACAGGCTTACCGACTGGCCTGTTTGCAGGCTGCACAGCTACCCCGGAGACCCACTGCCCCGCCTACTACCCCACCCCTCGACCTACCTAGCCTTCGCAAGGTAGTGGCTGAGGAGGTACGAGCGGCCCTGAGGGACAACAAACTAGTGTGACGAATCTCAGTCCCCTACCACTGAAAGGGACTTCTCAGACTGAAGGTTCTCAACAACGGGGTGAGGTTCGGTAGAGCCAGAGGGTCTACAACAATTGACACAAGCAAGTGTTCACACAGTAGTAAAGACAACTGCTTGCATTGCTTACTGAGGAAGCTATCGTAATGCCTGTAGGTCTGTAGAGATCGTGAACTATATACAGCTTCCTCCAACTGGCTCGCCCTCGCTCGCTAGCTACCATGACTACCTGATCGTTCCGGGTAGTCGTCTACCTTAGTCTATCGTGATCGCCTGTGTTCGCTGGCTACCGCTGACTACCGGTCGTTGGCCCCGCCTGCAGCAGCCCACAGTCCCCGCTGTCCATTGATTGGTGGTAATGCCTCGTGCTTGCCCCACCGGGTCTTGTTATACAGTTGGTTTGTAACACCTCCCGACCAGGGCTCCCCCCCTGGGTGGGACTGGAAGAAGATGGATAAGAGGAGAGTGGTAGCCGAGGCGGCCCTACTACCCCAGATCCTTAGGCTGGAGGACCCGGGGCCCCAGGGCCTCCACAGTCGTATCCAGTCGACTGTAGGCCTTGAAGAAGCCTTCGACCAACTAGTCGGAGAACTTACTAGGATTGCCGACTGCAGTGCCCCCCGAAGAAAGGCCAATACTGGATTCCAGGCCCCCTGGTGGACCGGAGAGGTCCAGAATAAGGCCCAGGCGGC